GGCCGAGCCGAGGAGGTGGTCTCGGGGACATGCGGCCGAGGAGCACGTCTCGGGCGGGCTGGCCGCGCCGAGGAGGTGGTCTCGGGGACATGCGGCCGAGGAGCACGTCTCGGGCGGGCTGGCCGCGGACCTCTGGCGCTTTGAGAGCCCTCGGGAAGTGGCTTGCAGAAAGGTTGTCGTTCTTTTTCGTCGTCGAAGAATCGCAGTGGCCATTCTCCATGCTTTTCCCTGCAGTGTCTTTGGGTCTGCATTTATGACAGGGTGTTCGTTGGCCTCCCCTGACATGATGCGACGAGCGAGTGTGCGGATGAGCTGTCGGCCGCTATCGGGAGACGAAGGGACGTCTCTCTTGGCAGGATTTTTCCTATTTAAATGGCGCACTTGGCCCGTTTCATGATTCTTGCTGCTGAGTCCCGGACCTCGTCGTCCCTTCTCCTACCGCACCTTCTCCTCTTCTACGCCGTCTTTCCCCATCGCTCTCTCGTCGCCCCTCTTGTTCGTTTCAAAGCCGGTAAGGATGTCCCTCTCGCCTGTCTCTTCGCCCTTGTCCTTTGATAGAGTCCGGGAGAGCACGCCTCCGCCCTCTCCAGACGAGGAGGCGGCGCGAGCCCTTGAGGTTCTAATGTGGCCGCACGACCTCGACTCGGTGGTGAGCAGGTCATCGCTGGAAAAGCTCCGGGAGCGTTATCACATCCCGGAGGAGTTTGTCCTCGTTGCGCCTGATCCGGGGCAGCGGTCGTACGACCCGATCCCCCGAGGTTTCGCGCTGACCCAAGATGCCCTAGAGGCGGGGTTGCGCCTCCCCCTTCACCCTATCATTGTTTCCTGTCTTTCTTTGTGGCAGATTTCGCCTTCCCAGGTGGCGCCAAACTCATGGCGCTACCTAGTAGCGTTCTTAGGGGAATGTTATTATGCTAACATCACCCCTACCCGAAACCTCTTTCTTTCTTGTTTTCGCCTTTTCAAGGGGCCGGGGGGTTATTTCGTGTCAGCCCGGGTTGGTTTTCGTGTCGGGGGAGCCCCTTCGAACAACAAAGGGTGGAAGGGACGTTTTTTCTACGTTAGCTGGACGAAGGATTGGGGCTTCGGAGTTCGGTGGGCGGTGAGGGTGATAGATAACACAGTCCCGCCTTTGAACGACGAGGAGCGTCGGGGCCTGGAGAGGCTTCGGGAAATCCTTCCCGGTTCTCAGGCTATCCGAGCTATGACCGAGGAGTGGCTGGCCGAGGCGGGTCTTAGCCCGACTTTTGGGGGTATGTTTATAGCGGGTGTTCCCCGTGTCTTATTTGTTTTCACAGGTTGTGATTGTCTGCTTGTTTCCTTTGTAGGAATGAAGCTTCTGTCGCTCCGCGGTGGTCGCTCATCGTCGGCTCCTTCCCCACGCCCGTCCGCTGCTTCCTCTCCGTGCCCCTCCGCCGACCCGTTGCCCGGCTCGGTGGACGCTCCATTAGAGATTCCGGAGGGGCGCCCGTCAAAGAAGGCGAAGACAGCTGGTCCTGGGAAAGTCAAGGCGGGGGCCACCCCCTCAAAAATTGTAGGCGCAAAGCGGGCCGTTCGGGACGAGGGGCCTTCCCGAGTCGATGGGCCCAGTCAAGGGGCGGCCGGGAAGAGGTCGAGCCTGCCCACGGTGGATGACCTGTGCGGGCTACGTACGGGGGCCGACGAGCCCTTATGGTCGTTAGTGATGGGCGAGCTTCCACCGGGGGAGGCTTCCGACCCGCTAGTCGCCCGCTGGAAGGGGCTGTCCCGAGGGGACAAGGTGTGGGCCGGGGGAGATCCCTCGGCTTCCTTTCTCCGAGGTGTGCTCCACCCCGACCTGGCTCGGGATCTATACACCCTGCCCTTGGAGGCCATGCTGAACAAGGCGGGGAGGTTTCTGACACTGGTGAGTGTTTTGCTAACTCCGGGCGTCCTTGTGACTGTGCGATGACCCTCCTTTTTCTGTGGCAGGGCCTCCACTACTCGACGGCACTGATGAACCGAGTGCGTGATGCTGGCCAGGTAATCTGGAACCTCAGCGAGTGCAACTTCGAGTTGTGCCATCAGCTAGAGGAAGTTCGGGCCGGGTCGGGCCTAGAGGCGGTAGCGGCCGCTGAGAAGCGCGCAACTGACTCCGAGGAGGAGGTGGCGCGTCTGAAGGCAGAGCTCGAGCAGTCGGGCAATTCGTTCAAGGAGCTCCAAGAGTTTCTTCGTTTGGATCGGGCCGAGCTTCGCCTATTGAAGTCGGAGGCACTTGATCTTACCAAGAGGGTGGAGAAGGCCGAGGCTGAAGCCCGCGCTGCTTCCGATGCGCTCGCCGAGGAGACTCGCCTTCGCCCGTCAAAGGACAAGGAGGCGATCGAAGTTTATAAGAAGTCCGAGAACTTCGAGCTCGGATTGATCCGAATGGGGCGAGTATCCTACGAGTATAGATACAGAATTGCCCTTGGTCGCTTTCGCTCATGCCCTCCTGGCTCCGAGGTGGAAAGAGATCCGTTCACCTCTCATCCCGTGGACCTGGAGGTGGATATGCCGGAGGACGTGCCCTTCGACGACCGCCCGGGGACTCCAGGAGAGTGATGAGTTTAGGCTTTGTACGCCGGAGTCGGGTTTAAGGGTGTGACGGGTCGGTCTGTTCCTCGTTGTTAAGCCCTTGTACCCCCTTTGAAATAAAACTACCTTTTCTTTTGATCTCGGTGTTTTCGTAGTGTCTACATCTTCAGACGAAGTATTTCCTAAGGTTCTGTATGTTCCAAGTCCTGGGTACGGGGTCGCCATCCATTGTTGCGAGCCGGAACGTCCCTGGTCGGGATACTCCGATGACCCGATAGGGTCCTTCCCACTTCGGGGCCAGTTTCCCCCTTACTCGGGTCGGGTGGCTGACCTCGACTTTGCGCAGGACCAGGTCCTCTAGCTTTATCAACCGGGGTCGTACCCTTCGGTTGTAGACCCTTGCTACGGCTCTTTTGTAAGAAAGGGTTTTCCGGTGCGCGTCAGCCCGTTTTTCTTCGAGTAGATCCAGGTTGGATCGGACCCCTTCACCCGAGGTCTCTTCGTTGTAGCCTGCTGTCCGTGGAGTCGGGACGGCTACTTCGGATGGCAGTATGGCCTCGGTCCCGAACGTGAGGTTGTAGGGAGACTCCCCCATCGGGGTCTTGGGGGTGGTGCGTAGTGCCCATAGCACGCTCGGGAGCTCGTCGACCCAAGCCGACCGGGCAGCGGACACCCTTCTCTTGAGACCGTCGATGAGAGCCCGGTTGGTTACTTCAGCCAGTCCGTTCGCTTGGGGGTAGGCCACCGAGCTGAACCTCAGCTGAATCTTGTGCTTAGCGCAAAATTCCTGGAACCTCCTGCTGGCGAACTGAGGCCCATTGTCGGTGACGATGGACTAGGGCAGGCCAAACCGAGTTACGAGGTTTCTCCATACGAACTTTTCTACTTGTGACTCCGTAATGGTTGCTAGGGGCTCGGCCTCGACCCACCTGGTAAAGTAGTCCACTCCTACGATGATGTACTTACGCTGCCCGGAGGCGGGCGGGAGAGGCCCGAGTATGTCCAACCCCCACTGCGCGAATGGCCAGGCACAGTCGACGGGGGTGAACATGACCGCCGGCCCTCGGGCGGTGCGGGCGTGCTCCTGGCATGAGCTGCATCGCCGCACGAAAGCTTTTGCGTCCTGGCGCATGGTCGGCCAGTAGTAACCCTGTCGGAGTATCTTGTGCACCAGGGTTCGTTCGCCTATGTGTTCCCCGCAGGTCCCTTCATGCATCTCGGACAGAATTGTCTGGGCTTCGTTGGGCTCTAGGCAGCGTAACAAGGGGCGCGAGAAGGACCGCTTGTATAGCCGTCCTTCTTCAGAGTACCACGCCTGCGTCCGACGCAAACGTCGAGCCGTGGTCTCGTCGTGGGGTACGGTCCCGTCCCGCTTGAAGCGCAGCATCTCTTGTACCCACGTGGTCGGCGCGCCGTCTGTGACCGTGGTGACGATCTCTGTGGCTCGGCGAAGGGGCTCTTTGGTCCCGGGTTGAGCCCAGGGATCCGAACCGGATCCCAGCTTTGTCAGAGCGTCGGCTCGCTGGTTCTCGCTCCTGGGAACTCTAGACAATTCAAAACGGGTGAACTTGGTGGCAAGGTTTTTTACCTGTGCCAGATATTTCGCCATGGTCGGGTCCCGGGCTTCGTACCCGCCGTCGAGCTGCTCAGCCACCAGCTGCGAGTCGGTGAGGACGTGTATGTCGGACACCCGCATTTCTAGTGCCAATTGGAGCCCCGCCAGGAGAGCTTCGTATTCTGCTTCGTTATTGGTGGCTCTAAACCCGAAGCGGAAGGAACGCTCGATCGAGCGACCGTCAGGTGCAACCAGCACCAGCCCCGCGCTGGCGCCCTTTGCGTTGGCCGATCCGTCTACGTGGAGAGTCCATGTCTCACAAGGTGGTTCGGGTTCTTCGCCTGTGATCGGGGTCAGCTCTGCGATAAAGTCGGCCACGGACTGGGCTTTAATGGCGGTCCAAGGTATGTACCGTATGTCGTGCTCGCCAAGCTCCACTGCCCATTTGAGGAGACGCCCTGCAACGTCAAATTTAGACAAGACAAGCCGAAGTGGCTGGTCAGTTATTACCTCTATCGGGTGGGCCTGGAAATAGGGGCGGAGCTTTCGCGCTGATAGCACGAGCGCCAGCGCCAGCTTTTCGATTGGTGGGTAGCGTCCCTCTGGCCCGCTCAGCATGTGGCTGACATAGTAGACCGGCAGTCGGTCGCTGGAGTTTTCCTTGACCAGAACCGAGCTGACCGCGTGCCGAGAGGCGGCGAGGTAGAGACCCAATTTCTCCCCTGGGGAGACCGAAGCGAGTCGGGGGAGGTTGGCTAGGTGTTGCTTCATCTGTTCGAAGGCCCTTTCACATTCCGCCGTCCATTGGAAGCTTTTTGGACCCTTCAGGGCCTTGAAGAAGGGGAGGCAGCGATCTCCCGATCGGGAAAGGAAGCGTGACAGGGCGACTAGCCTCCCGTTAAGGCGTTGCAAGTCTCTAATCGTCCGAGGAGGTTGCATGTCAATGATAGCCTGGACCTTTTCCGGGTTGGCATCAATCCCTCTCTCGTGTATGATGAATCTAAGGAATTTTCCCGAGGTTACGCCGAAGGCGCACTTGGCAGGGTTGAGGCGCAGGCCGAACCTTCGCAGGGTGTCAAATGTTTCAGCCAGGTCGGAAGAATGAGCCTTCGCGGTTCGGCTCTTCACGATCATGTCGTCGACGTATATCTCCATGTTTCGTCCAATTTGATGGGCGAACATCCTGTTCACCGTCCTCTGGTACGTGGCCCCGACATTTTTCAACCCGAACGACATGACTTTGTAAAAGTATACCCCCTGCTCGGTGAGGAAGGTTGTGTGTTCTTGGTCTTCGGGTGCCATCCTGATTTGGTTGTACCCTGAGAAGGCATCCATAAACGAGAGACGGGCGTGGCCGGTTGTGGCGTCGACTAGCTGGTCGATCCTCGGTAGGGGGTAGCAGTCTTTCGGACATGCATTGTTGAGACTAGTGTAGTCAATGCACATACGCCAGCTTCCATTAGGCTTTTTGACGAGGACTACATTGGAGAGCCATTGTGGGTACCTGGCTTCTTCTATGAAACCGGCCGCCAGAAGTCGGTTTACCTCTTCTCGGATGGCAAGTTGCCGATTCGGGGCCTGCCGCCTGGGCCTTTGTTTCACCGGACGGGCGTCGGACGAGATGTTTAGGTGGTGTAGCGCGACTTCTGGGTGGACTCCTACTAGGTCTGATGGCGTCCAAGCGAAGATGTCGGCGTTGGCTTGCAGAAGGCCGACGAGCTGCTGTTGCTCCAGTTCGGGCAGTCCCGACCCGACTTTGATTGTTTGATCGGGCCTGCCTTTGATTAGCGGCAGGTCGATGGTGGATTCCCTCGGCTCGGGGCGGGGACTCCCGGGGGTCCTCCAGCGGGGATTGGGCCCTTGCTCTTTTGTTTAACGTCATGGCAGTCAAGTAGCAGCACCTGGACTCCCAGGAGTTTCCCGCTACTTCCCCGACCCCATCGTGGGTCGGGAATTTGATGGTTTGGTAGTAAGTTGAGATGACAGCTCGGATCTTGTTGAGGGTTGGTCGTCCGAGGATGGCGTTGTACGCCGTGGGGAGGTCGACCACCAGAAAGGAAGTCATTACTATTTTGGTCTTTGGGAAAACTCCCAAAGTTAGGGGCAGGGTGACAGCCCCTAGTGAGGAGATTGAGGCACCGGTAAACCCCGTGAGCGTCGAGCATACCGGCTTCATGTTCTCCTTGACCAGGCCGAGCTTCTGGAAGGCATCCCAATAAAGTATGTCGGCCGAGCTCCCAGTGTCGACCATGATCCTTCTTACTTGCGCGCTGGCGATTCTGGCTGATATCACCAGCGCGTCATCATGTTCGGCTAGCTCAGGTCCCCCGGTCGGGAAAGTGACTTCGGGCCCTTTTTCATATTTGGAAGCTTCGGCCAGGGAGGCCCTAGCGTATGCCTTTCCGCCCATCACGGAGCTCCCTCCGGACGCGGGTCCGCCGGTTATGACGTCTATGTGTCGCTCGATGGGACCCTCCGGGCGTGGTGAGAGCTCCTTATCTGGCGGAGGTATGGGCCGAGGTGCCCTCGGCGGATGAGCTCCTCAATTTGCCTTTTTAACTCTCGACACTACTCGGTGTCGTGACCGGGCTGTCGGTGAAAACGGCAGTATTTAGAGCGGTCCGCGAGTTCGCGCGGGCTCCTCATCGGGTAAGGGTCTTTGAGAAGGCCTTTCTCCTTGATCTGAAGAAATATTTCGGTCCGGGAGGAGTTTAGGCCCGGGGGAGGGGACCTAGGTACCGCATCGTTGAGTCCGTCAGCCCTACGCCGGGAGGCAGCGGGCTGTTGTTGGTGGGACTGCTCTGGCTTAACCCTCTTGCGCTCGTCGCGCCTCCCGACCATCCATGCTTCAGCAGCGATGAACTGATTCGCACGCTGCAACATTTCTGGTACCGAAGTGGGGGGTCGCTCCACTAGAGACCAGAAGAATCTGGTAGGTCGCAGGCCCATCATGAATGCCTGCATCATCAAAGAAGGGTGAGCATCAGACAGCCCACGAATTTGTGTGGTGAAGCGGTTCACAAAGTGGGAAAGGGGCTCGTCCTCCCTCTGGTTGAGCCCGAGGAGCATTGCCACCGACGGCTTTGGTTTGGCGTGAGCCAGGAAGTTAAGCTCGAAGTCTTTGGCCAACTGGTCGAAAGAGGCGATGGTCGCGGTCTTCAGATTGCTGTACCACGCTCGAGCTGAGCCTCGCAGGGTTGTCGGGAATGCCCTGCACATCAGGGCGTCGGACGTCCCGTACAACGCCATCTGGGCGCGGAAAGCAGCTACGTGGTCCGCTGGGTCGGTGGCGCCGTCGTAGGCGTCCAATGAAGGGAGCCGAAAATGCGGCGGGATCGCTTGCTCTTGAACCTCGGGGGTGAAAGGGGACCCCTGGTGTTGTTCGGCCCCCGGGTCTCCCCTGGTCCTGCGAACCTCTCGCTGCACCTCATCCAGTCGGTGGCCTACGAGGCGCAGCTGGGCCCACAAGCCCTCCGTCGAGTCTGAAAGCGGGGCCACGAGCGTCGGGTGCGTCGCTGGATCCTCCGCTCCTCGACTCCCGAGTTGGGTCGATTGGCCCGGAGGTGAAGCGGGAGACTCGGGAAGCGGTGCGTGGGTCTGGGCGGCGGATCGTTGTCGTTGTGGAGGTAGGGTAGAGTGTGAAGACGTCGGATGAGAGACCAGCGGGATGATGGTCTGCATCACTCCCGTAAGAGCCCGGACCTGGTGTGTGAGGTCGTAGAAGGCTTCGGGTGGCACGGGTGACGGGCCACCGGGATTACCGATGGGCGGCGATAGACCCGGGTCGTTGAACAATCGCCAGTAGCGCTCCGAAATCGCAGCGGGGTGCTCGTCTCGAACCCCCTCCTGCAGGGGATGTTCTCCCGTTGCGTCGGTCGGGTGCGACCTGACGGTTGGGGGTTCGTCGAAGTGGGCCTGTTGATCACTCGACATTCGGACGGGCCCTCCTTCTAGCGCCAATATGTTACGGTAAGTAACTTTTTTAGCCATGGCCTCGGGGCCGTCGCGGCTCGGTTCGGGGGTCCGGATGTCGGGGATCTCGGTGGGGGCGCTCCTCGGGGTCTCCTGGCGGCCGAGCTCGGTGGTTCGGGTCGGCGGGTCGGGAAGCAGCTCAGGTCGGGAGGCAGCTCCGCCGCGGCTTCGGGAAGAGGCGACACCGTCTCGCACCTGCACACAGGTCGGGCCGGGAGCTCGGCCCGACCCCTCCGACGATCAAGTTAGAGAAAGAGCTGGAGGGGATTGTGGATGAGGCAGAAGAAGAGCCTCTGGGTGTTTTGTGTCTGAGTGAGTCCCCCTGCCCCCTTGGTCCCTCCGGCTAGGGGACATTTATAGTGGAACTTGGCATTACCGGGCGCGCCATCCCGTCGGGGCAGGGCCGTACCTCTGATGGCGTCCGACATCGTCGAGGATGTTGCGTGGAGGACCGGGGAATCGCAGGGTATGGGCGAGCTCCAACCGTTACCTGCTTCTGTCTCGTCCGACTGTGTTGGGTCAACCGAGGGGGCCGTGCGCTCAGTGAGGCTGACGTCCGGGCACAGATCGTTACCTTTATTGCCCCCTTGGGGTGCTGCGCCTGTCCACGTGCGGGCGACGTCGTTAGGAGCGAGGTCTGCCATTTTTTGTCATATCAAAGAGGACCCTCATAAGACTGCTCCAAAAGGTACTAAAATCATTGCTTGAAGAAGAGTTCTGATACCACGCATACATCGGGGGATGAGAGACTCCGTCCACGAAACCAATCGTAAATTACCGAATGAGGAAAGACAATAGAGGCACGAACTTTGTGTGGAGGTGAGCTATAGATACATCCCACTTTGATCTAGCACCAGAAATGACAGTGGCATAATGGAGAGAATATTTAATGCGACTGTAGGACTAACAAATGAAAATGATTTTAGAAGTTTAGATATATATATTCGGGTTATGTTTCCTAAAACCTTTCTCCTCATCTCTTATGCCTATTTTGGATCATGTGATTTTGGTTTCCAAATATTAGAAATTAAAACTGAATCATATGGTCGGTTCCGATTTGAATAATTATTTAAAAATAATTTTAAATAAAATTTATAATTTAAAATAGAAAAATCATATATATTTTATAAATCTTGAACCTTTAGCTTAAATTGGAATCAAAACCGTCACAGTTTTAGAATTGTCTATTTCGATTCTCAAAAATTAAAAATCATAATCAAATCATCTAAATTTGTTTCTGATTTGGTTTGGAACCAACAAATTATTGGATTGGTTCGATTCTAGTTTGAATAGAAACCTGATTAGAATTACTCAGAATATGAAATATCTCTTATGGGATCAACTTGTAATAATGATATGAAGACATATATGAGAAAGTTGATTCTTAGCACCACCCGATGACGATGAATACAAAAGAACGGTCCAGTGATTAAGACAACCAAGATTAACAGATAGCAAACTTCTGAGGCATCAAAACCCATTACATTAAGGAACACAATAAAAGCAACAAAAATGAAGAACACGCCATGCCACTAGCAGCGGTATCCTAGTCAATATCCTAACACCTTTGGCTTCCACGGACAAACTCCCGGTGACGATCGATGGCGATCGATCTAACTGGTGGACCTGATATCAAATCCAAAGGCAGAAGCTGCTGCTTCCTCCGACGACCTGCAGGTGGTGAATCTTGTTGAACTTGATAGGAAGAGGGGATAGAGTTATCAAACAGAAGAAGAGTAGGACAAGCTTCAATCTCCTATATTTCTCTCAAGAAAAATACTTTAACAATTTCAGAAACTCTCTTACTCTCATGACCCAACATATGGGGTTTATATAGTCCCCAAAGATATATTATATTAATTGTATTCAAGATGAATCATTCTCTTTCAAGAAACCCTTTCAAGAACCAATAACCAATTTGACTTATCCTTCTATAGATTTTTAATCCATTTTTTTTTCTTGATGTAATGATTCTCCCACTTGATGCAATGAACCTTTTT